ACAGTGGTGAAGGGAACTCTTCACAGTGGGCAGAACTTCAAGCAGTGCACCTGGTTGTACACTTTGCATGGAAGCAGATATGACCAGATGTGCGATTATACACTGATTCATGAGCTGTCGCCAATGGTGTGGCTGAATGGTCAGGGATCTGGAAGAAGCATGATTGTAAAATTGTTGAGAAAGAAATTTGGGGAAGAGGTATGTGGATGGACCTCTCTGAGCAGTTGAAAACTGTGAAGTTATTTGTATCCCATGTGAGTGCTCACCAAGTGGTGATCTCAGTGGAGGAGTAGTTTGATAATCAACTGGATAGGATGACCCGTTCTGTGGACACCACTCAGTCTCTTTCCCCAACCACACCTGTCATCGCCCAATAGGCTCATGAACAAAGTGGCCATGTTAGCAGGGATGGAAGTTACGCAATGGCTCAACAACACGGACTTCCACTTACCAAGGCTGACCTGGCTATGGCCACTGCTGAGTGATCAATTTGCCAGCAGCAGAGACCAACACTGAGCCCTCGATATGGCACTATTCCTCAGGGTGATCAGCCAGCTACCTGGTAGCATGTTGATTATATCGGACCTCTTCCATCATGAAAAAGGCAGAGGTTTGTACTCACTGGAATAGACACTTAATCTGGATATGAGTTTGCCTATCCTGCATGCAATGCTTCTGCCAAGACTACCATCCTTGGACTCACGGAAAGCCTTATCTGTAGTATTCCACACAGTACAGAAATTCTGACCAAGGCACTCACTTTATGGCTAAAGAAGTGCAGCACTGGGCTCATCCTCATGGTATTCATTAGTTTTACCATGTTCCCCATCATCCAGAAACAGCTGGATTGACAGAACGGTGAAATGGTATTTTGAAGTCACAACTCCAACTCCAACTAGGTGACAACACTTCGCGGGCTTGAACAAAGTTCTCTAGAAGGCTGTGTATGCTCTGAATCAGCGTCCAGTATATGGTACTGCTTCTCCCATAGCCAGGACTTACAGGTCCAGTAATCAAGGGGTGGAAGTGGAAGTGGCACCACTCACTATCATCCCTAGTGATCCACTAGCGAAATTTTTACTTCCTGTTCCTGCAACATTACATTCTGCTGGCCTAGAGGTCTTAGTTCCAGAGTGAGGAAAGCTGCCACCAGGAGACACAACAATTACTCCATTATACTGGAAGTTAATATTGCTACCTGGACACTTTGGGCTCCTCCTACCTTTAAGTCAACAGGCTAAGAAGGGAGTTACAGTGTTGGCTGGGGTGACTGACCCCGACTATCAAGATGAAATCAGTCTACTACTCCACAATGGAGGTAAGGAAGAGTATGCATGGAATACAGAAGATCCATTAGGGTGTCTCTTAGTATTACCATGCCCTGTGATTAAGGTCAATGGGGAACTACAACAGCTCAATCCAGGCAGGACTACAAATGGTCCAGGTCCTTCAGGAATGAAGGTTTGGGTCACTCCACCAGGAGAAAAACCATGACCTGCTGAGGTGCTTGCTGAAAGCAAAGGGCATACAGAATGGGTAGTTGAAGAAGGTAGTCATCAATAGCAGCTACAACCATGTGACCAGCTGCAGAAATGAGGACTGTAATTGTCATGAGTATTTCCTCCTTCTTTTGTTAAAGATATGTTTGTGCATGTATACACTTGTACTAAGAAAATATCTTCATTTTCTTTCCTTTTCCTTCATCACGTGACTTAAGATTTAATGACTTCATATCAGCATTTAAGTATTTTTAACTTTATGTAATAGTATTTGCGTTGGGGATTGGTGCGTTTCAGGTTGTGTGAAGGATAGGTATTATGTTATGTATAATTATGACTTTATTATTGTCTTTATTTGAAGATTATGTATGATCTCAGGAGATATGTATTTGTTCAAATTCACGAGGAATGGACTTGTGATGGTTAATACTGAGTATCAACTTGATTGGATTGAAGGATACAAAGTGTTGATCCTGGGTGTGTGTGTGAGGGTGTTGCCAGAAGATATTAACATTTGAGTCAGTGGGCTGGGGAAGGCAGATCCACCCGTAATCTGTTGGGCACGATCTAATCAGCTGGTAGCAAATATAAAACAGGCAGAAAAACGTGAAAAGGAGAGATGGGCTTAGCCTCCCCAGCCTACATCTTTCTCTCATGCTAGATGCTTCCTGCCCTCAAACATCGGACTCCAAGTTCCTCAGTTTTGGGACTGGAACTGGCTCTTTTTGCTCCTCAGCTTGCAGACAGCCTATTGTGGGACCTTCTGATCATGTAAGTTAATACTTAATAAACTCCTATATATATGTGTATGTATGATATATAGGATAACTAATATGATATATATACGTATATACATATATATCCTATTAGCTCTGTCCCTCTAAGAGAACCCTAATAGAACAATACCTTCAAACTGAACCGCACAATTTAATCAGTATATCTAATTGATGTTTGCAGAATACCTCATCCAACAACAGCAGCATACACATTTTTCTCAAGCTTATATGGAATATTAACCAAGATAAATACATTTGAATAAATGTAAAAAATAGAAATAAAAAGTATGTACCAGACCACGCTAGAATTAAACTAGAAATTATAGATGACTGGAAATAGCTGAAAAATTTAGAAATATTTAGAGATTAAACAATGTATTTCTAAACACAACATAATGCAAAGAAGATATTGCCAGAGATATTAGAAATATTTTGAATATGAAAATGAAAATAAAACATTAACATTTGTGGGATGCCACAAAAACGGTGCCTAATTAGAAGCAAATTAATAGCACTGAATACATACAAAGGTCTAAAATAAATGACCCAAGTTTCCACCTTATGAAACTAAAGAAGACCTCTTTAATCAGAAGGAAAAAAGTAACAATTAGAGAAGAAATCAATGAAATAAAAAAGTAAGAAATCAAGAGAGAAAATTAACAACTTGAACAGCTGGTTCTTTGAAAAGATCAATAAAATAGATGAACCTTTAGCCGGGTTAACTAAGAAAAAATAAATAAGATAAAAATTTCTAATATCAGAAATGAAGAAGGAATCATCACTACTGATATCACAGGCATTAAAATAGTAATAAATAATATTATGAACAATTTTAAGCTGTTCAAATGTTGCAGCCATGTTTATAAATACTCATCTTGGCCAAGATTGATCTGGTATAAGCCAATATATAGAAAATGTTTATTGAGCACTTATTGTATAATAATTTACTCTAGCTTCTGAGGATCTAACAGCAAGCAAACACAAAAAAGTTCTTTCCTACACTGAGCTTACATTTACTTACTGCCTAAACAAATAATTTTAGAGGTAATGAGAATTCAGATTTTTTTTCCTTGCTTCTGCCTGTGATTCTTAATTTTGTTATTTAATCTTAAAAATAAAAAATACTAAATCAGTGAAATCATACTTTTTGTTTACAAATTTTGACTTTCCATCACACTCCAAATACAGTCCTTGCGGTTAAAGTATCCCTATTTATTATAACCCTGCCTCTCCATACTTCCATGACTCTGCTTTTGCCAGCATTCTCCGCTTTTGAGTTTCATAGATAGTGTTGTTGTTTAGTTTACTTGAAATACTCTTCAGCGAAAATAGCTGCACGGCTTGTTTCCTCCCTCCTGTTAAGTCTCTGCTCAAATACATCTTTATTGTTGAAATCTTTCATGACAGGCCTGTACAAAATAACAGCCTAACTTTCATTAATGTTCTTATCCTGCTTTAATTATCTTCATAGAAGTGGTCCCCAATGGATATAATATATAAACTGTACTTTATCATCTATCTACACTCACACATGCCACTAGAAGATAAGCTGCATGAGAGAAAAATGTTTGTTTAGTTCATTGCCTCACCAACATTTGGAACAATGTCTGATACACAGAAGGTACTCAGTAGCAATTTATTAAATGAATAAATTCCCAATTTAAAAATATGTATATATTTTTCTATATTGGAAATTTTCAAACTTATATAAGCATAAGAACAATCTGGAGAATTATAAAACATTCAGATTTCAATTTCAATATTCTTTCAGCTTTTCTATGCTACTAAAAGATGACACATAGTATAGGTGAGCCTTCACTTAGGAAGTACTTTTAGCATCTTTGCATATAGATATTAAGGGAAGAAATGAATGGTTCTGAAGCACAAAGTGAGGAAAATAGATATATTGGGATTTAGGAGTAAGGAGTATCTGGAGAAATAGAAAAACATAGACAGGCAAGCACTGTCTTAGAAACAGTTTAGAACTGAGCAAAATGCCTGGAGGACGAAGGGTGCAAAAGCAGGTGGATGCACAAAAATGCCAAATAGAAAGTGGCCAAATACATTTTACATTATATTTTTAATGTAAAACTTCTCCACTGGTTAAGAACTTCAATGAAATATTCAACAAACAGTGACTATAGAAAAAATTCAAGAAAGGGGGATCTATTTCACATCTGGGTTTCAAAACATAGAAAGAAGTTAGTGAACAGAGGCATGAGTCAGACTGGTTGCTGAGGACCAACTGTGTCCTCACCAAATTTATATGTTGAGACCCTAACCCACAATGTAACAGTATGAGGAGGTGAGGGTGGGAGGTGATTAGCTTTTGACAGTGGAGCCCTCATGTATGGGATTTGTGCCCTTTTTATAAAATAGAACCCAAAGAACTCTCTTTTTCTACCATGTGAGTACACAGCCAGAGGACGGCTATCTATGAACCAGAAAGTGGGTCCTCACCAGATATCAAATCTTCCAGTGCCTTGATTGAACTTACACTTGCCAATCTCCAGTTGTGAGAAAAAAATGTTTGTTGTTTCTGTTACCCATTCTATGGTATTTTCATTAGAGCAGCCTAAACTAAGACAGTGGGAATCATCGAAAACAGAAACTTCAGACAGGACACTGGATTTCAAAATATGGATCACTGTTATCAGTTATGATTTGATGAGAAAGAGAGAACTATGAGAAACAAAATGGATGTATTATAAAGTTTAAACCTTACATGATCTTGGGTGCTGGTTAGATATTATATGTAAGTCTTCTTCCCCTATGTCAGATGATGGTCCTGAAGCTAGAAAGGAAAAATGGAAATAAACTGAGAGAGAAGAAAGACAAACTAGAATATCTGGGTATGAGCTGAAACCCATGAGGATAAACTGAAATTTGGCCATCATATAAAGCTATATTAGTCTCTCATTGTCTCCAGCCTACGATTTTGTTTGTATGGGGGGCCTGTAGTATAGCTGGGGTATTTCTCTACAGAGTTCCATGTAAGTACGGTCTAGGATTCAGGGAAACTGAAGAAAGAGATCAGAGGGAAGCTGAAGGAGCTTTGGGTCTGGCTGCAGTCCCAAGGAGATCTGGCAGAATCTAAAGCTGTTGTGGGCTAGCTACGACCTCGAACCAATGACATGAACCAGTAGATCCACATTCAAATATGGGACTTGTAAGAGTATCTCACTCTAGTCTGATTTTCCAAACATAAACAAGATTGCTGCTTAACTCCTTTCTTCCAAATCTTGTTAACGTATCTACTGTGGAAATCCATAACTTAGAATCATGTAAGAAAGGGAATTGTGAAAATGTGGTTCCAAATTTGTAATTTTAAGACAATATAAATGCAGTCTGTAACTGATATGTATTGCTGTGTGAAAAGCACACAGTAGTGTAAACAATAGCGTAAAAGGTCACCTTCATTTATGATTGTCTTTCAAAGTTCTAGAGATTGGCCTTGGCTGGGTGGTTCCAGCTCTGGGTTTCTCATGCGGTTGCAGATAATGAGTAACGGGGTCTGAAATCATCCTAAGGAGTTCTCTCACATGTCTGATAGATAACGACGTCAGTCACCTGGATCCCATTTGCTGCTTTGGGCTGAAACACAACTCAGTTGCCTGGATTTCATCACAGCATCATGGTTGGTTTCCAGGGCAAGCATCTGAAAGATAGCCAAACAGAAGCTGTTTCACCTTTTATGACATAACATTTGGAGTCATGCATTGTTAACTCTGCCATATTAATAAATGTATTAGTCAGGATTCAGTTAGAGAAACAGGACCAGTAAGGAATGTATACCTTGAAAGGAATTCACTTATTTTAGAGGCTGGTTAGGCAAGTTTCACAACCATAAGGTACTCCATCAGGAGCAACAACTTGGAACTCTTGGATATGACTGAGGCTGCTGTCTATAGGCCCGCATTTTTCAGAAAATCCCCCTGTTCTGCTCCTAATCTGGAGATCATCAAATTCCACAGAATGATTGCTATATGAAAATGATAGTCACCGCTTCAGTCACATCCACTTTGAAATACAAGTTCATGCTGGGAGCCTTTAACCAGCTCATTGATACATTGATATTTCTATTAGACCAAGTTAATGAGCCACTCAAGATGAGAATAGAAGGAACAAGTCAGGGCTTGCAAATGAGTTTAGTTGGTTTATCCTATAGATAAGAGCATTGATGTGGTAGCTCTAGGCCGCATCACACTGATTTGGAAGGCTTAGAAAATGCCATGCCCATTTGCAGATCACTAGATAAATAGCTTGAGGAGAAAGTCTTGCAACATTGATAGAATCAGATATATTACCCATGTGTTTTTGTTTTTGTTTGGTTTTGCCTAAACGTCTGTCTGTCACACATGATTTTCCTCTTCTGTGCTCTCACAATAATTTAAAAACAATATTTATAAAGATAAATATAATTTAAAAATTAAATAGATTCAAAATATTTAAATTAACTAAGTAAAAATGCTGACTCTATGTGGAACAAATTAAATGGAATCTCAATTGCTATATTACTGATATCTTTAAACTTTCTTCTCTTGCTTATTTAACATAAGCAAATAAGAAACTGATATATTTAAGCTCTCTTTCACTGCTGATCACCAGCTTTAGAATCTATTCTCAGAACTTAAGATCACAAATGGTGAGAACCATGACTATGTATAAAAACAAGCTGGAAGCAGTTTCAACCTTTGGCATTCTGAGAGTTTCTTCCAGAGAGTGCTTATCCCAGCAAAAGCAAGTGAAATATAGATCTAAATGCACAGTACCCTGTCACGTCCGTGACTTTACTGCTAAGACTTGAAAAAGAACTTTTCAAACTTCTTTTTTCAGGGACTTCACTACTCATGAAAGAATCTTTCCTTTGTTAAAAAGAGATCCATTGATTTAGGAAATTAAGCCTAAGACGTTCAACTATGCAGTATTACTAGTGACAACATAAGATGTTAAATCACGTAGAATTCCACATTACAGTGTGAGTTTCAAGCCTCCATTGAATACTCAACTGACCAGGAAATAAGAGGAAATAGTTTATGTAAGAATTCATTGTAACACGAATGAGTTATTTCTGCATTTAACATACTGAAAATCTACTTGAAACACAAGGAATACATGTAAACTACTAACAGATTTATCAAGGGAGTCTATCATTGGCACAGTCTGTTTTAAGGAAATTCAAGTTCACAAGGCATGCAAGACAACTCTCACTGTTTCCTGCTAGTCAGACCACTTGCTACTGTGAAAACATCATATTTTAAGAATGACATATGTACATGTGAGTTGTTGGAAGTTTTCCTGGAATCACATGCTATGGAGGAAAAAAAAAAATCACGATTCTAGTATGGTATAGTCCTTTAAAAATTCTTAGAGGACACAAGACAACTTTTTCTTAAATACGTGAAGAGTAGTCACAGAAAAGAGAGAGAAGACACTGTGAAAGTAAATCTGTAGCAGAAAAGTAAATATTACAGAAAAGATAGTTTTGTTCACTATAAGAAATAGCATTTAGACCTGTCCAATTGTGGATATATCTCCACAGGACGTATTGAAGCTCATTATTTTTCTTTCCACTTGCAGTTTTTACTAATAGGGACAAACATTCACCATTTCAGCAACTCTGCATACATTAGCAAGTAATTTTATAGTGCCATTTGGCTTAATAAGAAATGCATTCACAAAGGTCCTTTTAAAAAATAAGCTATTTGTAAATCGAGGCACATCTGTAGTTATTTTCTTATGACTGGAAATATTAAAACTGGATATCAATTGCTAGTTAACAGCTCGAGGGGCTTTTTGTGCTTGATGGAATGTTGAGCTATATGTTCCTAGGTATTCTTTTGCAACGATAAGATTGTTAATAGCTTAATAAAGACTGCCAAAGTAGAATTAAAGAGTTTGGCTTTACTGTTGCTTTTTTCTCATTTGATCATGGAAACTTATTTAGCCTCTCTCTTTTTCATGCTTACAGCATTATTGTGCTACAAGTCAGCATGATAAAAGACATAAGGCATGAAATAGTTTATGATAATCTAATATGCACGTAATATCATACTCTCTGGAGTTCTCTGATGTGGTGGATTTCAGGTGGAATTTGAAGAATGAGTAAGATTTAATTAGGAATAGATTTCATTCTAAAAGAGGAGTAAAGACAGAGGCAGATTACTATGATTTGGAAATACTTTAAAAAAATTTCCAATGGGCTATTCTGGGCAATTGGAAGGTAGGATGAACCTACCCCATATGGCATCAGTCAGTAAACTAGAATCAGTGGACCAACTCTGGCCTGTTTTGGTAAATAAAAAGTTATTGGATCCCAGACTTGCTATTTCTTTACACATTGTTTACGGCTGCTTTTCTGAGACAAACTGGAGAGTTTAGTACTGGTGACTCTCTAGAGACTGAGTGGCAGCAAAATTCTAAAATATTTGCTAACTACTCCTTTTAAGGAAAAGTTTGCTGACTCCTGCTTTAAGGAATCTTTGTGTGTCCTTAGAAAAGAAAAAGAGAAAGACCTTGCCTGTGAGAAATTCCCAAAGGATTTTCTCTGCAGCAGCGATTCTTTGTTCTTTATTATTTTGGAGATAATTCATATGATAGTTTCTAGAATATAAAAGACAATAATGGTTTAGTGGAAAAGCAGGAAGATCTCAGTATTTCACAGCAGCTAAATTTCTGTCTCAGCAACAATAAGGAGGTTGATTTACAATTTATTTAAATGACAGTAATCATGATACCTGCAATATATGACATCTTGTGTAACTTCTAGTATTATTTCATCTTTAGTATTAAACAATAAATCTTGATATTGCTTAGGATTACGAGAAGAGTTAACTACGTAAGTACTCATGCTATATACCTGATCGAAGAATATATATTAGAAAGTCTTCATTCTTCTTCAGTACCTCATTTTTCCTTTATTCATCTACTCATTTATTTCTTCTTGGCCGAAAAGGCAATTCACTTCAAAAAGCTATATTACTAAAAAATATGATGGAAGACATAAGTCACATAAATTAGATAATTCAAAGATAAGGCTGTTTCTAGCTCACCACTAATTTTCCTTTGATTTGTGCTTTTTTCCTTTTTACATAGAAGTCTGCATATGTTTTGCCATAAGTCAGGTTAACTTCACACCTGATGATTAGTTCCATGTGACTGGTAAAAAGTATTGCTATACATAAAACACACGTGGTTTCAGACCCTATCAGCCTGTAAACACAATGATTATTTACTACGTCAACGTGATTCTAAAATTGCTTTTTAAGACTTTTGTTATTTAGTGCTGAGGTAAAAATTTTTGAAACAGTTGGGCTTTCACTGAAATTGCTTGAGAATCATGAGTAAATCTTTTCACAAAAATACTGAGAGCAAGTAGAGAAACCATTGGCTTTATCGCCTGGAGATAAGAGTACAATACTATTTTTTTTTTTCCTCTCTCTCTGGTGCTTCCGGTGCTTAGTTAAGAAGCTTTAAGTCTTTGTATGATCCTTCGGTGGGACCTGAAATAAGTCAAACAGAAGCTTAATTCCTGCTTCTTTTTGACAATGATTTTCTCAAGCTCTCTACTTCAGTTTTCACATCTGCAAAATTAAGTGAAAAATTTCTCTCAAAAAGTTGCTACGTTTTAAGTGTAAGAAAACACATAGTAGGCACGCTGTCATATACACAAGCATTTTCTACATCAATGTTATAGACCCTATTTCTTACTGTTTAACAATATATTTAGATTAACATCCATATATTTAATAAAACAAAATTTTAATTGAAGGGAAGAAAATTATTAGGCAAATTATTTACCATGACCAAATTTGTCCATAATTACAGTTTACTCATTTTGTAACTTACCCAAATATCATTCTTTTATGATATGTAACATACATTGGTAGATATCATTGATACTTCTTTCTCTGATAATGTCTACTGCTGTAGAGAAAAGACTTCATTAAATATCGTCAATATCCTGCTATTTACACATAGTCCTTAAAGCTTCTGAATCCTGGAAAAGTGGTATTGATTATCATCTTATTTAGTGTCACATCTTCCAGAATTTTTATGGGAGTGGTGACAATTGCCACTGCCTAGAAAGCGGCTAGGAATGAAGATTAAACAACTGCTTTGATTCTAGATTGTTATCACCCAGATTGAAATGACATAACGCACTGCATAGAGAAGGCAAGCAGCTTATTGAGGAAGAAATCTAGTATTGACATCCTATTTATCTAAATCAATTCTAAAGATAAAAATATCAAATCAATGTTAATCAAATGGAATGCAAGCTGACCCTGAATATAAGGGGGAGGAAATGTTACTCAAAACATGTGACCAGCTAGCTTTTATATCCTTTTACTTTCCTTCTATTAAAAATATATAAAAATAAAATAACTATAAAATTATACATACACAATTTTCTGCTTCAATGATATAGTTACCATCTGTTTTTAGGGAGAAAGTTTCTTCTCCAGAAGCTGTACAGCAGTTGGGAGAAGCATTTCAAAGAACCAAAGAGGGTGTAAACTTCCAGTAAGTTCCTTTCCAAGATATTTCAGGGATGCTAACAACGAACCCTACTAAGGATCTGTGGTTGTTCCTTCTGGGATTTTGTTTGTTTGTTTGTTTGTTTTCTGGAGTTGCTGGGTTTCTTTTAAATATTCTTAAACAAAAGGGAAGGGTGTGTAATTGGAAAGAATGGCTCTGAGCCAGATCCCAATCTGGTCGTGTGTGTGTGTGTGTGTGTGTGTGTGTGTGTGTGTGTGTGTGTCTAGAGATAGAGACAGGATCTGGCTATGTTAATCAGGCTAGTCTCAAACTCTGGGCCTCAAGCAATCCTCCCACCTCAGCCTCCCAAATTGCTGGAATTGCAGGTGTGAGCCACCACACCTGGCCCTCAATCTAGACTTCAGCCAACTGAGTGATCAGTTACTTGTTGTAAGAGATCTCCATTCTAGTGTTTTTGAAGATGACAGAAACTACTCAATGTAAGAAGAAACATAAAGGAAAATGTCATGCTTGGTTACTTCTGAAAATTCACACTTCAGAGTTTTGTTATATGTAAGGTAATAGAAATCATACTATAAAAGTGTCAAGTTTAAAGAGTTTGTATGTTCTGTGTCAAAAATTGTTTTCTATCCCATCCTCCAAAACCGTATCTTGTAGACATAGATGAGAGAATTTAGTTTAGTAGATGTTCATCAGTTATAAGTGACCCCAATTTACAGAATTTATCTTCTGTTTTCTGTTGTCACATCAACCAGTCTAATGTAATTAGAAACATGATGTAAATGTATTTTGTAGGTTTAAAATACGCCATCTGCTTGATAGTTATACATATTGCAACCACCATTTAGTGACAGCATTATAAAAAAAAATTTATATATCTATATTTCTGGGGGGAAACAGACTCGTACTTTGTTGCCTGGAGTGCAGTGGTGTAATCTCAGCTCACTGCAACCTCCACCTCTTGGGTTTAAACAATTCTCGTGCCTCAGCCTACCAATTAGCTGAGATTACAGGCACGCACCACCATGCCCGGCTAGTTTTTGTATTTTTAGTAGAGACAGTGTTTCACCATGTCGGCCAGGCTGGTCTAGAACCCCTGACCTCAAGCAATCCACCCGCCTCGGCCTCACAAAGTGCTCGGATTAGACGCATGAGCCACCGTTCCAGGCCATGAATAAATATTATCACAAGAAATTCAATCAAAGTAATCTCACTTTTAATTGGCAATTTAAAAAAAAAAAAAAAAACTCAAATTACGTGGTATTAAGGAAAAAGAGTTTAAGCTTTACAATACATTGACAACATAGTAACATTAAAAATTAAAAGCAAATATTATGTTAAAGATTTAAAAACCACCCAGGTAGATCCTGCGCCTGGCCAGCCCCGCCCGGTCTTTCCTCTGGCCCACCTGACGGTCACGCGTCTCTCCTCCTCCCCACCTTGTGGCCGGCAGCTGCCCTTCAGCTTCGGCTCCGTGGACTGGCTCTCCCAGAGCAGCTGCTCAGGGCCGACTCACACCTACAGGCCTGCCATGTGTCCCAGGGGAGCCTCACTGGCCCGGGTCAGATATCCGGCACCCGGGAGCCCCCTCAGGCCGTCAGCATCAAGGAGGCTAGGTCCTCAAATCTGCCTGCGCCGGAAAGGACCGCGGCTGGGTCAAGGGGCCAAACACCTGGCGGCCCCCAGTGTCCGCACTGCCTTTATCGCTGAGTAGGTCGGCGACTTGGAGAGCGTCTTCCGGCCCTCTAGAGCGGAAGAGGCTGGCCAGGGAGATACCCCTCTCGGAGGTCCAGATAAAAACCTGGTTTCAAAATCCCCGGATGAAACACAAAAGGCACATGCAGGACTCTCAGCTGAATAGTCCCTTCCCTGAGTCACTCCACGCTCCCTCAGCTTTCCACTCACCGTCTTCTGGATTTCCTAATGGCCTGCAGCTGCTGTGCCCTTGGGCACCCCTGTCCAGGCCCGAGGCTCTGATGCTGCCCCCTTGCTCCTTCTGGAGTCTCTGCCGAGTGGGACAAGAGGCCCTGGCCTCTGCATGGTCTTCCTGCTCTGGGCAGCCTCTGGCGTACCATCCCCCAAGACGAGGAAGTGGTATGCATCCGCTGGGACCGGCCCTGTCTACCGGGCCTTGGGGCCTGTGTGCTCTGCCGAGACAAAGGATGCATTTTGAGGAAGCTCCTCTGATTCTGTGCCTCCCACACACGCGGCCTGTGCAGATGGCACCTGGCACCTACCCGGAGGACTCAGCTGTTCTGTTTACATCGTGGCGGCACCTCTCACCCTGACCCACGCAAAGGTTCTGGAGATTTCTGGAGAATATATTTATTAAAGCCACCTCTTCACTGAAAGTTGCCAAAAGGGTCAGTTGAGGAAGTAAATGAAGGGTCAGTGAACAGAGTCAAACACAGAAGTAGGTTTGTCATGGGTAGGGCTTTCAGCATATGATGAAAGGATAATTTGTTTTTTAAAGTGTCGGAAAAAACTGGTTTTCTTGGAAAAAGTAAAGATTGTAAGCTTTGTGTGTAAAAAAGAAAACCGTGAAGGATTGGGAATGCAGGTGTCGTGTTTATAACTTTATGGTTCGAGTTCCTTTTAACAAGGACTCCAAAGCTGGAAAGCAGGAGCGACAAGGGTGAAAATTAAGACTGGGTGCTGGGGCCCTGCAGTGCGCTCTAGGCCTTGCGTGAGCTGAGACTGTGCCCGCAGCCTGCTGGGGGCTGCTCTTCTCTGGTGAGGGAAAGTGGGCCAGCTGGGACCTGCTGCTGTACCTGGACTGAAGCCTCCAGCATGTGCTCATCTGTCCCCCTCCTCGCAGCAGCCTCAGGACAAAACAGAATGACTCAAGGACAGCACTTCCTGCAGAAAGTCAGGAAGTGCCCAGGACTACTACCCGGGTAGTCCTCTCCCTCATTGATGGACCATTCTTGGTGCAGACTCTTCACTGCACGCACCAAAGCTTAGACAAGCGCACATCTGTCCATGTCGCCCCAGAGTGCCCAGGAGGCAGGCAGCGCGAGGCGCCCAGACAGATGGGGTCAGCCTACAGGACTGTGAGGCGACTTGTGAAACCGACCCAAGCATCCCAACAGGAACAAAAGTGTGGTCCTGTGGCCATGTCCACAGCAAGTTCCACTTTCCCCTTGCTCATTTCTGCGTTGTTGGAGGTGTTTACAACCAGCATGTGCTTTTATAATACAACCTCAGGTAAGAGTGGAAGAGCTGCTGTGCGTCCTGGCGAGTGATAATGTGACAGAAGCCTAGGTGAGGCCCTCGGAGAGCAGTGACTGGACAGGGGCTCCTGGGTGAGGCTTGGACAGCACTGATTTGTGGATGTGGAAGGGGCCACGTTGTCCGTGATAAAAGTATAAATGCGCCGCCAAAATAAATAAATAAATCACCCAGCACTTTGGGATGTCCAGATGGGTGGATCACTTGAGGCCAGG